GGCTAGTCGGGGCTGTGAGGGGTGCATATCCCCGCTTCTGCTCGGGTTCAGCCCCGCCCCGCGCGTGGAAGCTAATCCCCTCCTGGCGCTGGCACCCGGATGCGTGGGGCCTGGCGACCTTCGGGTCAGCGCAGAGCCCTTGCCATCCCTCGCAGCCCCAATGCCAGTGGTCCCCAAAGCTGGTTAGTGGGGTTAGCTCCCTCCTGCCCCAGGAGCCTCTGTGTCTTGGGGTCCGTGCATGTAAGCCCCAGTAGGGTAGGGAATACGGGGGTGGGGGCGTTTAAGTTGCGCCTGAGTCCTCCTAAGGTTTTTAAAAACAGTTTTATTGTGGTGTAATTAATATACAATAAACCACATTTAAATTTGATCCGTTTTGACATTTGTATACACGGTGAAACCATCATCACCATCAACACAGTAAATATCCCAGTTGCCCCCTTCGCCCCCCGCTGTCCCATCCCCAACACCAGGTAGCACGGATCTGAGGTCGCTGTAGATCAGTTTGCATTTCTTATAATCGCTGTAAACGGGATCGCAGGTGTGTACTCCTTTGTCCAGCTTCTTTTACTCGTCATAATCTCTTGGAGTCCACCCGTGGGTCCTGCTTTGTTTATCTTGTCATTCCTTTCAGTGCTGAGTATCCATTCATCGTATGAACGTTCCACAGTGTGCTGTCCATTAGCTAGTTCCCGGCGTTCGGGCTGTTTCCAGTCTAGCACAAATAAAGAGAAACGAACATCGAGTGCAACCTTTGCTTGGGCAAACATCCTCAGTTCCCTTAGGTAAACACCCAGGAACAGAATGGCTGGCTCACATGGAAGCTGTGTGTTTGACTTCAAAGAAACTGACAAAGCAATTGTACAACTTTACATTCCTGCCAACCATGTGTGCTCACACCCTCACAAGCTCTTGGCAAGGTCAGGCTTTTTCATTTTAGACATTCTAATAGGCGTTTAGTGGTGTAGCTCACTGTGGTGTTAATTTGTGCTTCCCCGGTGACCAGCGATGGTGGAGCATCTTTTCATCTGTTTATTTGCCATTTATCTTCTTTAGGGAAGTGCTCTGTTCAAATCTTTTACCCATTTTTGAGTTGTTTTCTTATTGTTGAGTTTTGAGAGTTCTTTGCGTATTCTGGATACAAGTCTTTTATCAGATACGTGATTTGTAAATATTTTCCCTGAGTCTATGTATTCCTTTCTTTCTCTTAAAAGTTTTTCAAAGAGCAAAGTTTTGAATTTTGAAGTCTGATTTATCAATTTTTTCTTTTTATGGATCATGCTCTTTTTTGATGTCATATGTAAGAAATATTTGCCTAACTCAAAGTCACAAGGATTTTATACCTTAGGTTTTGCGTTTGGGTCTGTTATCCCTCTAGAGTTAGTTTTGGTATATGATGTGAGATATGATTCCAAGTTTATTTTTTGTGCATGTGGATATCCAGTGTTCCAGGACAGTTTGTTGAAAAAACACTACTCTTTCTCTACTGAATTATCTTTGTACATTTGTTGAAAATGAGCGATCCATATGTGTATAAGTCTATTTCTGTACTCTTTATGTTCGATTGGTCTATTTGCCTATTTTTATGCAAATATTCCAAGTTGTCTTCATTACTAGAATTTTATAATAATTCCTGAAATCAGGTAGTATAAATTTTCCAACTTTGTTCTTTCATAAAGTTTTTTTGGTCATCCAAGATACTTTGCATTTCCTCATTAATTTTAAAATCAGTTTACTAACTTCTACAAACAACAACAACAACAACAACTTAGCGGGATTTTGTTTGAGATTGCGTTGAATCTGTAGATCATTTTGAGAGAATTTACATCTTGATGATGCTAAATCTTCCAATCCATGAGTATGGTATATCTTCTCATTTATTTAGAGCTTCTCTAATTTCTTTCGTCTATGTTTTTGTAGTTTCTGGTTTACAGAACTGGCACATCTGTTGTCAGATTTATCTCTGACATTTTGTTATTGTAAGTCACATTTTGTTTCAATTTTTATTTTTCAATTGCTAACATATAGAAACAAAATTGATTTTCGTAGTCTGATTTTAGCTTTGCTAAACTCTCTTATTAGTTCTATTAAGTTTTTAATAGATACCTTAAGATTCTCCACATATACAGTAATGTTATCTGTAAGTAAAGAGTATGGCTTCTTCTTTTCGAGTCTGGATGTGACTTCATTTTCACACCTAGTTGCCCTGGCTAAAGACTCTAAGTTAATTCTGAATGGGAGGCATGAGAGCAGACATCCTCGTTCCTGGCCTCGGGGGAAGCATGCAGCCTTTCGCTGCTGAGGACAATGTTGGCCAAGGTTTTCCTCAGTTGTCCTTGTCAGTGTAAGTTTCCTTCTATTACTACTTTCTACCAGGAATGGATGTTGGATTTTGTGGAACGTTTTTCTGCATCTAGTGACAATCTTTTCTGTTTAAGTCTCTTACTATGGATTATAATCTTTGATTTCCAAGTGTTAAGTCAACTTTGTGTCTTTGGGCTAAATCCCACTCGGCCACGGTATATTATCATTTTTACATGTTGTTGAATTATTTAGTAGAGATGGTGCTTCTGAGGTTATTTTTTTTCCTTGATCGAATGTCGATAGCTTGTGTCTCTTAAAGAATTGTCAATTTATCTAAGTTGTTGACTTTATCAGCATAAAGTTGTTCGTAATATCCTGTTATTAATCTTTAAGTGTAAAGTGACATCATCGCTCTCATTCCTGATATTGGTAATGTGTGTCTTCTCTCTTTTCTTTCACTGATTAGTCAGAATAGAAGTTTATTAATTTTATCAATATTCTCAAAGAACCAGTTTTTGGTTTCATCGATATCTCCATCCCCTCTTTTTTCCCCATGGACTTTTACTCTGATCTGTATTCTTTCTTTTGCTTACATCGGATTAATTTTCCCTTCTTTTTCTGGTTTGTTAAGTGGAAGCTGAGCTCACTGATTCGAGGCCTTCTTCTTTAGCATAGGCTATAAATTTCCCTCTAAGTTGTGCTTTAGATGCATCCTAGAATTTTCAATGTGTTGTATTTTCATATTCTCTAAGTTTAGAATATTTTCTAACATTCCTTTTGCTTTCTTTGTGTGATCCAAGTGTTCAGAAGTATGTTATTTTGTTTTCAGACATGTGAAGATTTTCCAGAGATCTTTCTGTTGTTTATTATTATTATTATTATTATTAATTATTATTATTAACTTAAATCCATCATTGTCAGAGAACATACCCTGTATATTTCGGATCCTTTTAAGTTTTTTGAGACTGATTTTATGGTCCAGAATATGGCCCGTGTTAGTAATTGTTATGTGTGCACTTATATGTGAGTTCCTCTGTTGCTCACTGGAATGTTCTGGGCTGCTGATGGTGTGATTCGAGTGCTCTACATTCTTACTGATTTTCTGTCCACTTGCTCTGCTAATTATCGAGAGGGGTTGTTGAATTCTCTGTGACTGTAGATTTGTCTGTTTCCCCTCGAAGTTCTATCGCTTTTGCTTCGTGCCTTTTGAAACCCTACATCGATTTATTATGTCCTCTTGATCAGCTTACCGCTTTGTCGTGATGAAGTGGCCCTGCTCACCCGGAACTCCGCCGTGTGACTCCCACAGGCCCCTCCAGCCGTCTTTCGATTAGGCTGGCGCAGGGTAGCTTCCTTCATCCTTTTCCTTTTAACCTCGAGTGTCTTTATTTTTAGTTTCCTTTAAGACTTCCATGACGACCAAGTATCTTCCTCAACATCTTTATTAATGACAAAGGGAAAAATAATAACTTTGCAGTGAAGAAACCCAGCCAAACGCACCTTACGAGGTGACCGAGGGTGCCAGCAGCAGCGAGAACACGGGCGGACGCCGCGCGGGCCTCGACGCGATGGGCTGAGCGAGACAGCGTCACCCGTGCCGTGTTCTTGCCCCAAAG